CAAAAGGTCTCTCTAAAGTAGTATAAAAGAAAGTATGAAAATAAAGAAAGAAGGGCTAAAGGACTCCACACAAGTAACGATGTTGAAAATTCAGGAAGTGAAATAAGGCACAGCACTTAAGTAACTGCAGCTTCTTATAGCTAAGGTACAACATTAGAAGGCAGAGGAAAAAGAAGCCGAAGGCAGAAACACAAACCCCATCACAGAATGCTTTGAAGGATTCCAGTATCATCCTAAAAGCAGTCAGAAGTGTGAGGATTTTAAGAAGACAAATGACACAACCAATTTCTATTTGTGTTAACTCAGAAGTAACAAGAAGCATGGGATGAGAAGGAGAGAAAACACAAGATGACACATTGCTCCAGGGAAAAAACAGTAACAACCTGGCACAAGGTTACAAAGGCAAAAAAACACACATGCTCTTGAGAGATACTTCAACAACAGAAAGTGGGCATTCAGGTTACGGGAGAACTCGAAAGATCCCTTGGCTCAGCCTCGACAAATCAGAGACAAGAAACAAAAAAGAACTAGGGAACAGAAATCAAGAGGATCACTGTAAAGGGTTAACAGAATTCTGTGCCTTAACTCTAGGAAGTTATTAAAAAAAAAACAAAAACAAAACTTGTGTTTCTGTTATCTATTCTAGGACATGTATTCTCCCTCTAGGCTCAAGGCTGTTCAACAATAAATAACTGTTTCTTGTCAAGGCAGCAAGCTCCCTCCCTAACCATCTCCTGTTATGTGGTTAGCTTAAGATGTATCTTGTAAAATATGTACTTATCACTAAGCTATAAAAGATCTTCAGTTACTTTTTTTTTTTTTGGTAGAACTGGGGATTGAACTCAGACCCTTGTGCTTGTCAGGGAAGCGTTTATTCTACTGAGCCATCTCCCAGACCCCAAGATCTTTAGTTACAAACAGTTTGCAGCTGTGTCAAATGAATGTAGTTTTCTGTTGTTCCGTGCTAGATAACAAATTCGCTTACCAAACTGGATGTGATTTGTTATAAATACCCCCTTGCTACCTACGTTCGATTGCCGATCAGCCTTCTCCTGCGTCAGAAGTGGCTGACGGACCTGAGCTCAGTACATAAAAGGCTCTATTCAAATTTCTATCTGGCTGATCTGTTTCCTATGCAGTGTCCCATAACAATCACTACTAGTTCCAGCTGCGTAGTGAGACCCTGCGCGCGCGCACACACACAAACACACACACACTTATAAATAAATAAATAAATAAATAAAACATAAATGAGGCAACCGTGACAATGAGCCACTTACACTCCTTCCCAATTACTAAGTAACTAATCCGGGTGAGGAATACCGCGGCGAGCTACACGACTGTGTTTCTTCATTCAAAGCCAACAGGGGCTCACGATGCAGGACGGAAAGCCGTCTCTTCACGGCGGGACCTACCAGAAGCATCTCCTTGGAAACCGAGGTCAGTCCAGGCAAGAAAAAAAAAACTACTTCTCGCTCAAGACTGGCTCTCTGGCCAATCTCAGGGAGACTGACATTCCGTCCTCTGAATTCGCTCCTTCGCCGGGGTCCCCAAGAGCATCACTCCCTGAGGAGCCTCGCGCGCGCGTCTCTCGCCTGCGCAGTGAACTCCCCCAAGCCGCGCGATCTCTTTCACGGCTACCCCCAGCCCCAGAGCTGCCTCCTGCACCATCCCAATCCAGAACAGCCCGCTCCAGGCCTTGGGGCCTCGACGTGCTTCACAAACACACACACCCCCGAGCTCACCTGTGTCACGAACTCCGCGTTGATCTGGGACACCGTGGGCGCCACGATCTTCTTGGGCTGCGCGGGGGCCGCCATCGCTGCACTCTCCTGCTACTGCGGGGGGAAATGAAAGCGCCGCCAGGCAGCGGGGAGCAGCGCGCTTCTGAGTACCTGCGGTGGCGCCGAGGCCACGACCTAGATCCCGCGGGAAGACACTCCCACGGCCTCCACGAGCCCGCCAACAACCTGGACAGCAGTGCGCGCGTCCCCCGGAAGCGGAACAGAGCGGAGCCGGAAGTCAGTGCAGACTTTGAGACTGGGCCAGAAGGTCCACGACTTCGCCCTCCTCCCTCGCTCGCCCCCTGCCGGTCAACCGGAAGAAAACACCCAGGCACAGGACTGGGTCCCAGAGAAGGGCCAGGAGGTGTTGGACTAGGGTTTCTCATGGTAAGTGAAAGGTAGGGCTCAAGGAGTGGTGATTTATGGTTTCTTTCAACTCTAAAGGAAACAGTGGTGTAAAAAAAAAAAAAAAAAGCCCTAGGAATACAAGGCGATTGAACCCAAGCCCTTGTGCTTATCAGGGAAAGGCTTATTCCACTGAGCCATCTCCCCGGCTCCAAGGCTTTAACTCTTTTAACAGCCTTATAGACATGCAAATTGATGTACACTGCACAAATTTAGGGTAAAATTTGGTCGTTTTGACATAATTATACATCCACGAAATTATTACTAAAGTTATAGTGATTATACCCATGCCACTAAAAGTTTCCTCATGTTCTTCATTATGACTACACCTCATTCTTCCTGTTGCTATAGATTAATTTTTTTTCTTTTTTAAAGAACTTTATATAAACGAAACATTACAATATGTACCTTTCTGGGGCTGGTGAGGTGGCTTAGTGTCCTAA